GCAAAGCTACATAGAGAAACCCTGTCTCGAAAAACCAAAAAAAATAAAATAAAAAAATAAAATAAAACACCTGTATATATGAAATAAAAATCTTTTTTTGTCTTTTTTTTTTTTTTTTTTTTTTTTTTTTTTTTTTTTTTTTGAGACAGCGTTTCTCTGTGTAGCCCTGGCTATCCTGGAACTCACTTTGTAGACCAGGCTGGCCTCAGACTTAGATATCTGCCTGCCTCTGCTTTAATCCCAAGTGCTGGGATTAAAGGCATGTGTCATCATCACCTGGTTAACAATAAATCCTTAAAAAAAAAAAAAAAAAAAAAAGTGGTCCTTACCTAGTCCCAGCTACCTTGAGCCCAAAAGTTCAGCAATAGCTGGAATAACATAGCAAAACCACATTTACTTTTTTCCTTTTAAGGGGAGTAGGGATCGTGGTGGCGCATACCTGTAATCCCAGCACTCAGGAAGCTGAGCAGGAGGATCTCCAATTTAAAGCCAACCCAGGCTACGTAGTGAGACTTTGTCTAAAAAAGCAGAAGGGTAGTCTTGAGATGGAATGTGGATGTAAAAGACTAAGTAGCAACACAAAGTCCTGGGTTTGACCCCAGCACTGGGGGCACAAAAGGAAAGGAAGGCTGGGCGGTGGTGGTGCACATCTTTAATCCCAGCACTCGGGAGGCAGAGGCAGGTGGGTCTCTGTGAGTTCGAGGCCAGCCTGGTCTCCAAAGTTCCAAGATAGCCAGGGCTGTTTCACAGAGAAACCTTGTTACAAAAACCAAACCAACCAAACAAATTAAAAAAAAAGACTGACTGAGGTACCCCCAACTGGATCAGGCCCTCTGAATAGGTGAGACAGTCGATTGGCTTGATCTGTTTGGGAGGCATCTAGGCAGTGGTACCAGGTACTAGGCTCGTTGCATGAGTTGGCTGTTTGAAACCTGGGATTTATGCAGGGACACTTGGCTCAATCTGGGAGGAGGGGACTGGACCTGCCTAGACTGAGTCTATCAGGTCGATCCCAGTCCTTGGGGGAGATCTTGATCTGGAGGAGGTGGGAATGGGGGGTGGGTTGGGGCAAAGGGGAGGGGGGCAGGAAGGGAGAGAACAAGGGAATCTGTGGCTGTTATATAGAACTGAATAGTATTGTAAAATAAAATAATAAATAAATAAAAAGACTGAACTTGGCGGGTGGGGCATTCCCTTATTTTTATTTATTTTTTTTGTTGTTGTTCAGAAGTTCTACACAGCCCTGGATGTTCTAAAAAGCAATGTATAGACCAGACTAGCCTCAGACTCACAGAGATGCACCTGCCTCTGCCTCTGGAGTACTGGGATTAAGGTCACTATGCACAGCTTGCTTTGGATAACTCAGAGCTCTGCCTGGCTCTGTCCCCCAAATGCAGGGATCAAAGGTGTGCTCCACCACTGCCCAGGGAGAACTTTAATTTAAAAGTCTACACATTTTTTTCTATGACCTTGAGAGCTAATACTTTATTTTGAGCTTTATGTATCTGTTGTCCTGAATGTGTTCCTCTTTGTTATCATGAAAACCACTTTCTTTAGGTACTTCTGCTGCATTACACTCCAAGCTGTGTGGTACGCAACTGTATGAGGCCGCCCTGGTGGCTTTAGGGGACACAGGACAGACTGTGTAGGCCGTCTGGTCCACCTCCTGCTTCTCTGTCACTAGAATAAGGACTGGTTTGGGTTTTTTTTTTTACTAGATAGTAGAGACTCAAAGGCTTTGGTGCCCTTGGCTCGTGCACTACACCGTCTTCCATTTCTCTCCTCCCTTCCCCTCTGCCTCTGCATTTCCTCCTCCCTTCCTTCCCGCCCCAACGCATCCACATCAGGAGCCCTTCCTAAGGAGGCCATTTCCTCTGTAGGGAAGGTCTCAGGCTTATCAAGAAGCAAAAGGCAACACGGCCACTGTGACTGCAGTCCTCCGGCTCCTTAGGTCCAAAGGAGGAGGAGGAGAGGGAGGAAGGGGTAGGGGACCTGCTAAGTTCTCCTTGTGGGGAAGGGGCAGGGGACCTTCTAAGTTCTCCTTGTGGAGAGGGAGCAGGGGACCTGCTAAGTTCTCCTTGTGGGGCGACTCCTGATCCTACACTCCTGGCTTTGTGCTGTAGATTGTTCCTGTCAAGGAAGGTCACATTTGAGCAGCTAAGTCTTCGCTATTGATGGTGTTTCCCTACGTACTTGCAGCTCTGTGGAGGCCCACAGAGGCTTCCTAGTGAGACCTTACTCAAGATCAGAGAACCTGAGCTTGCTTCACTCACAAGGCAGAACCAGGCGGATCTCTGTGAGTTTGAGTCCAGTCTGGTCTACAGGGCGAGATATAGGACAGGCACCGAAACTACACAGAGAAACCCTGTCTCGAAAAACCAAAAAAAAAAAAAAAAAGCCCTTTGGAATAAACTTGGTCCCTCCCGAAGCTATCCTGTGTCTCTGTCTCTCTTATCCTCTCTTTCTATCTAATACTTCCTCCTTCCTCTCTGCTCCCCCCAAGAACCCTTCCACAGGTCGGAGCTGGACTCTGACAGACTCCCACACAGCTCAGTTATAATTTATTTTATTTTGTGTGTTTAAGTGTTTTGCCATCAAGGATGTATGTGCACCACATGTATGCTTGATGCCTGTGGAGATCAGAAGAGAACATTGGATGTCCTGGAACTGGAGTTTCAGATGGGTGTGGACCACCATGTGGGTGTTGGCAAGCCAAAACTCAGATCTTCTGCAAAGGCAAGTGCTCTTAATTGCTGAGCCTGCTCGCCAGCGCACTTACGACGACGATTTTTCTTTTCTTTTCTTGAATGTAAAAACATTCTATGTACAACTGCAGGAGAAATAATACACAGATAGCTTGAACATAAAAACAGGTTATAATCAAAAAGTCCAAGGTTATTTGAAACAATTTTTCTATGTTGTTTGTTTTAGAGAAACTCTTACTTACTTAGCCCTAGCTAACTTGGAACTTGCTACGCTGACCAAATTGGCCTCAAACTTGCAGTAATCCTCCCTGCTTCTGCTTTATGAATGCTAGGGATACAGATATGAGCCACCACACCTGGTTTAGGGGAGAGTTTTTTATTTTTTAGTATTTATTTCCGGCTGGGAGGTGGTGTCGCACGCCTTTAATCCCACCACTCCAGAGGCAGAACCAGGCGGATCTCGGTGAGTTTGAGGCCAGCCTGGTCTACAGAGCGGGATCCAGGACAGGCACCAAAACTACACAGAGAAACCCTCTCTCAAAAAAACTAAAAAAAAAAAAAAAAAAAAAAAGCTGGGCAGTGGTGGCTCATGCCTGTAATCCCAGCATTCAGGAGGCAGAGGCAAGCAGATCTCTGTGAGTTTGAGACCAGCCTGATCTACAAAGCAAGTTCCAGAACAGCCAGACTGTTATACAGAGAAACCCTGTTTCAAAAACCAAACAACAACAACACAAAAGAAGTTCAAAGTCATCCATAGCTATGTAGTGAATTGTAGGCCAGTCTGAAAGCCATGAGGCTATGTAATAAATACTCTGTCCTGTGGAAGGCAAAGGCAGGCAGATAGATCTCTCTGAGTTTGAGGCTAGCCTGATGTACACAGCAAGTTCCATGACAGCCAGGGCTACATAGTGTAACTTTGTCTAAACAAATAAACACAACAAAAACAGATCTCTCCTTTTTGTTTATCGTAGGAAGCAGGTTTGGAGTTTCTCAGACAGTCTCTGGGTAAGGCCCTGCCTTGAAGCCCTGCAGTCCTGAACAGGGACAGCAGATAGTCCTTTTCCCCCAGGGCCAGCATTCACACTGAGTGACTTCTGCTGCTGGTTCCTGGTGACTAAGCTAAGTCAAGATGAGTCACTGAGAACACAGAAGGGCCCTTTTCCCTGCAGTCTTTTATAGGGCTGGCCCCGGCCACGCCACGGAAGAGCTGAGCTCCCCACTAGGCCAAGGATAACTTTTGCTTAGGGCTTTTTGTTTGTCTGTTTTGAGACAGGGACTCACTACATAGCCCACACTGGCCGGGAATTCCCTACGTAGTCCAGGCTGACTTGGAACTCACAGAGCTCTACCTGTATCTGCCTCCACCACATAGGGCCTTGTTTGTTTTTCAGACAAGGTTTCATGTAGCTCATGCTAAGCTCAAACACATAAAGTAGCCAAGGTTGGCCTTGATCTTCCTGTCTTTAACTCTCAAGTGCTGAAATTATAGGTGTGTGCCAGCATGCTGAGATGGGTCCTAGAGAGCAAAGTTAGGGCCTCTAGCATGCTAGGCAAGCGCTATCCCAGAGAACTTGTCCCCCAGGTTGCACTTGTCTTGACATTTGCGACTGCTAAGTGAGGAGCTAGAATTCAGATCTGGAAGGAGAGTGCTCTGTTCTGTGATATCCTCCAAGCAGATGCCAGCCTGGTTTACATAGTGAGTTCTAGATCAGCCAGGAGTACAGAAAGATCCTGCCTTACAAAAATAACAACAACAACAACAACACCACCACACACACACACACACACACACACACACATACACACACACACACACACACACACGTGCACACACAAGATCCCCCCTAAAACAACAAAGCAACAACAAAAACCTAACAAACCTGAACAAACAATGAAAATTCAGGCTGTTGAGATGGGTCGATGGGTAAGGTCATTTGCCCACCCAGCCTGAGATAAATCTTCAGGACCCTCACAGTGGAAGGAGAGAACCAACTTCACAACGCTGTCCTCCGACCTCTGTATGAGTGCTGTGGTATCTGTATGTACTCATGCTTCAACAGAACAATTAACTTCAATTCTGAGCTTCACTTTCCTTATCTGTAAAATTAGGCAATTTAAAGATATTAGCCCCTCAGGTTGGGGTGAGTGTAAAATGAGATGGTCTGTAGAAAAGCATCCAGCACCATGCCTGGTAGTGATTCCTGACTAAACAGGAGAGCTGTTATTATTATTTTTTAATATTTTAAAATTTATTTTAGAAGCCAGCAGTGGTGGCACACGCTTTTAATTCCTGCAGGTGGATCTCTGTGAGTCTGAGGCCAGCCTGGTCTACAAAGCGAGTTCCAGGACCACTAGGGCTACACAGAGAAACCCTGTCTCGAAACACCCACCCCACCCCCAATTTATTTTACAGTTTATTTATTGGTGTGGATGTTCGTGGGTATACATGCATGTGCTGTGGTGGAGCATGCAGAGGTCAGAGGACAACCCACAAGAGTTCTCTGCTTCTGTGGTTCCCAGGGATCCAACTCAGGTCATCAGGCTTGGTGGCAAGTACCTTTACTCACTGAGCCAAATCTCCAGCCCTGTAGATGTTATTAAAAAATATTAGGTTTTCTAGACTAGATTTGGGTTTTTTGAGGTACAGTTTCAGTATGTTGCCCAGGCTGCCTCTGGCTCCTCCTTCAGTCTCTCCAGTAGTGGGACTTCCCTAGCTAGATGCCTGGCCTTTGAAGAATTCTAGCATGAGCCACAGATGGGCCGGTAAGTGAAAACTTTCAGGACAAGGGGTAAAAGCTGTAATGGAAATAATGTGGATGCAGTGCTAAGGGAGTGATAGGGTGATCACAGAAAACCACACCGAGGCTGCAGCCCTTGGACAGTGAAATTATGTGAGGTTCAGGTAGGAGCTGTTAGGATGAGGCTAGCTCCATTCTATGCTGGGCGCTAAACTAGAAGTTTTTTTTTTTTAATTTTATTTATTTATTTTTTACATCAATTGGTGTTTTGTCTGCATGTATGTCTGTGTGAGGCTGTCAGATCTTGGAGTTACAGACAGTTGTTAGCTGCCATGTAGATGCTGGGAATTGAACCTGGGTCCTCTGGAAGAACAGTCAGTGCTCTTAACCACTGAGCTGTCTCTCCAGCCCCTAAACTGGAAGTTTTAAAGCTTTTCAAAGTTTTATGCAGGGTAACAGCAGATTGGTATTTAGAAAACTTACATTGATGTTGCAGTGCCATCCGGCAAACTAGCCTCCGGAGCAGCCTCGGGCAGGCTGTGCACAGGAATCACGGCAATTGTGGCCAGGCATGGTGCTGTGCTCTTGTAATCCCAGTACTGGGGAGGCTGGAGTGGAAGGATCTTGAGTCAGTCTGGGCTACAGAGTAAGATTTCATTTCAAGCAGGGCATCATTGGTGGCTTGGGGGGCAGAGGCAGGCAGATATCTAAGTCTGAGGCCAGCCTGGTCTACAGAGTGAGTCCCAGGGCAGCCAGGGCTACACAGAGAAACACTGTTTTTTAAAAAAAAAATCATTTAAGAAAATTGAGAGAGATGATCATGATCACAGGGAGTAAGAGCAGGAGATACCCATCGCTAAAGCTGAAAATTGAGAAGGCCCTGGCTGGGAGACATGGGAACGTCAATAGGGAGAACTCCATTCTTTTGCCTGTCTGAGCATTTTGCTTTCTTTGCATTGAGTACCTTCCTCACCTGCCATTCAACACCCCACCATCCAACCTGTGCCTCCTCATCTGTGGACCCCGGTTTGCTGTTCTTTGTTTAGGTTTTTGTTTTTGTTTTTCTGAGACAGGGTTTCTCTGTGTAGCTTTGCGCCTTTCCTGGATCTCGCTCAGTAGACCAGGCTGGCCTCAAACTCACAGAGATCCGCCTGCCTCTGCCTCCCGAGAGCTGGGATTAAAGGTGTGCGCCACCACCACCCGGCTTGTTTAGGTTTTGTAAGGTAGGGCCTCAGACTCGCAGTAATCCTCCGGTCTCAGTTTCCCAAGTGTTGGGATTACAGTCTTGAGTCCCTTTACCCCGTCCTTTGGATCCCTCTACAGACTACTTAGTCGATTTCTTTGTATCCCTGTTCCCCATCACAGCCTTGGGCGTTCCTTTGTCATTAATTGTTTCCTGGTTCCTCCCACTGGTCTGTGAATTCGGTGACTTACGGCCCAGTCTGGGTCACCACTGCACCTGCAAGGCAAATGCAATGTCTATGACTGTTACTGAATAACGCGAACTTCAGCTGGCCTCGGGGGAAACTGAAGACAACAGAAAAAAACAAAACAAAACAGCTTGTCAGGGAGCTTTGACAGAGGCTAACATCTTGGAACCACACCGTCTTTTCTACTCCAGTCTTTGTATTGGAGTTGCTACCTGTAGGTCCTGGGCGAAAGACCTTCACCACCAACCAATCTGTCCAACACAGATCACTCAGCCAAGAGACTGAGGCTCCGCCCCTTAGTCCTAGACTCCGCCTCCCCATCCTCGGCGGTCAGAGTTTGGACCAGGAGGCGACGCCCATGAAGCCGCATGCGCACTGCGGGCCCCAAGGACTCCGTTTCCCTTCTCCCAATGGCGGGCGGCGGTCCCCTTCCCGGCAGCCTCCCTCGGGTAGAGAGCGCGTCATTTCCGGTGGGGAAGGCCCGCGGCCGCCGCCGCCATTTCGGGCG